GGGTAGAGGAGGGGTGAGGTGACGGCGGGTTGACGTAAAGGGGGGCGGGTGTCAGCAACGGTGGCAGATCAGCCAGGGGCAGGATGCGGCAGCATGACATTGAGCTGGGATGGCACATGCAGCTAGCAGGCATGACGTCAGCATATGGGGGCGGCGGCAGCCGTGAGACGCAGGGCGAGCAGCCGCGAGAAGGCATCAGCAAAGGCACACTCGTCGTCGCTCGCGCACGCCCCCCTATTTCACGTGCCTGGTAGGTGGCGCCATCCGACGCAGCCTTCCAATCACCACCGATCAAGCCCTGAGTTTTCAAAAGGTTCTTATCCTTCAAGCGCTCTGCCAGCTCCTCCGATATCCCCAGCTCTGGCTTCCGATCTGCTAGAGCCATTGAGCTGCTTTGAAAGGCCCGTTTCACTGTCCTGGACAGCAGTTGACAAGATAATACAGGCGCTGCGCTGCTTGCAATAGAAAAGCCGGCCAGCGACGCAGAGATCAATGTAGCGTGCATATTGGGATGGCTACGTCAAGCATCATGGCAACATCGAGACGATCGCGAATGATTCCACTGCTCACAGCTGCCTGAGCTAGATGTGCGCATCGCATGTTGCCGAGAGCGACTCATCAGCGAACGGCAGCTGCCCAATTTGAAGGTGCCGCCTGCCTTCAGCACGCCGCATGGCTACCCGTGCCATCTACGCTGCTTGTGCACAAATCTGCTTCTTTCATCTCCTGCTAGCCTTCGCTGCAGGCGCCACTCCCCCTGTGCGGGCGATGCACACCGCCAATTATGCTGAGCACACGCAGCTTTGAAGATGTGGAGGGATCCCGCGTAAACTGCTGCCAGCTGTCTCCTCTAATAGGCAGCTGCCAACGTCAATATGGATGCAGGCTTGCACAACTTGAAGCAGCAGGTGGGGACACCCTATCTCAAGGCCAAACCAGCACGCCAAGGCGCAGCATCTCATGCGCTCGTCACCTGCACTTGCATCAGGCTGTTCACAACCGCTGCGCACACGCGCCCCAAGCCCAAGCCCACACCTGTGCGCTGGCCGCTAGGAAGGTAGCAGAATGTCCACACGGCCATGACAGCAGCCAGCATGAATGCGACAGGCGTTGCACCGTGGAGCGGGCCGCACACGGCCCTCCTCCAGCACCACAGTGCCTGGGCGCATCAAGCGCCATGTGGCTTGGCCCTCTTTGCATCCGCACCATCCCGATCCGCCGCTTCACAAGCATCGCCCCCGGCGCCGGCGCCCGCGGAGGCCGGCTGCTGCTGCTTCCGCTTCATCGCCGCCAGCCGCCCGGCCTGAGCCGCGAACATCGCAATGCTCGACGCCCCGCTGCCGCCGCCGCCACCGCCGCTGGCCCCCGCAAGGCCGGCCTGGTCCGCGCCGCTGCTGGTGGCCGGTGCCGCCTCTGCCGCCGCAACGCGCTGCGGCTGGATGCGGCGCGGACCGTTGGGCACGCCGGCTTCCGCTGGTGCGGCTGGCGCAGCCGATGCAGGGGGTTGCGCCGGCGGCGCTGGCGGGGGCCCAGGCGCAGCTGCGGCGTCCACCGCCACGGGTGAAATTCTCCGCCCGGGCGCCCCCCTGACGTTTGCTGCCGCCGCGGCGGGCGCGGCCGGCGCCGCTGGAGCGCTGCTCGGCGCGCTGGGCCCGGCCGGCTGCGGGGTGATACGGCGTCCCGGGCCAGAGGCGCCCGCCTGCTGTTGCTGTTGTTGCTGCTGCTGCTGCTGCTGCTGCTGCTGCGGCTGCCCCAGTGCGCCAAAGGCTGGCTGGGCTGGCTGTTGCTGCACCGCCGGGGCTGCACCCACAGCCTGTGGGGTGATGCGCCGCCCTTGCCCCCCTGCCGCCGCCCCTGCGGCTGAAACCGGCGCCCCTGCGACGGCGACCTGCTGCTGCTGCTGCTGCTGCTGCTGCTGCTGCTGCTGCTGCTGCTGTTGCGAGGGCCTTGCCGCCACGCGCACCGGGCTCGGCCCGCCCACCGCCGCCGCCACCGCCGCCGCCGAAGCCGCCTCCGCCGCCCGCGCCGCGGCCGCGGCCATGCCCGTGGGCAGGCGGTCCGAGGGCAGGCGCGCGCCCAGCTCGCCCTCTGCAAAGTGCGCCGCGCTGCAGTATCCATCTGTGGAGGTGGCCACGAGGAAGGAGCCGTCCTTGGACCAGGCCAGATCGGTGATCGCCGAGTAGTGGAGGGGCCCCAGCACCAGGAAGGGCGCCAGTGTCTGGTGGTCGTGGAGTGCAAGGTTCAGGGTTCAGGGTTCAGGATTCAGGGTTTGGGTTTCAGGGTTGAGGTGTGCGTCGTTGCAGAGGGCGCAGGGGGCGAGGGGAGGCGGGGCGGCAGGAGGGGGGAGAGTGTCCGGGTGAGGGAGGGGAGTAGCGAGGAGCGAAGAGCAGGGCGCCGGTGTTCCGTCGCGGAGGCTCGGGGTCGCAAGCGTTGGTGGACGGGGTGGGGCGTGAGGCGGCCGCGGCGCAGCTGGTGGCTGCCGCAGCGGGGCTATTTTGCAGGGCCGCCTCGCGCGGTGCTGCAAACAGCGACCTGCCAAGCCCGAAACCATCCTGCCTCGCGGAACCGGTGGCGCAGGCTGCCAATCGTCGGTTTGAGAAACCGCGCGATGGGGGGGCGCGAAGTCGGGGGCGCGCGCAGCAGAGGGCTGCCGTCTGCAAGGCCTTGCCTGTGTGTCGTAGAGGGCCACGCTGTCCAGTGTCGCCACCGCCAGCACCATCCGGTACGGCAGACCCAGGGGGTTGACGCCAGCCGTCGCCCCGCCAACCCCGCCGCCGCCGGGGGTCTCCGGCCGGCCCCGCGCGCCGCCGCTGACGGCGGGCCCATCCGAGGGGTCGGGCCCATTGGCCGGAGCCGCGCCGGCGCCGGAGGACCCGGGGTGGAGCTCAAACAGCAGCGGGCAGAAGCGCGCCACTACGGGCGCCTTGCCAGGGGCCGGCAGGTGGGCCAGGGGCGATGACCTGGCAACAAAGAGAGGGT